TGTGCATTCACTATTTTACAGATGTTACTTTCATTTGATTTAGTTACTTTGTGGTAAAATATGTTTGCTATGTGGTAATTGTGTTCTTTGTTTAGATAAATTAGTACTAGTATCAGTGAACATCATAATAATGTTAATAATGTAGTTTGTGTAAACAGCATGCTTGCTTTTTTATTTCAGATGTGAGAATAACAGTGCAAAAGAACCTGTTGCAAAGAGAGCCAAAGCAAATAAGCAGCCCACTTGGTCATGGAAACCAGAGACTGACGTTGACATGTTCCACAGGCTCTGAGATTTCTGCCCCGCACAAGAGCCTGGACCACAGCTAAGACCATGTGATGCACACACTCCCAAAATGATGTGATAGTTATATATATTCTAAATAAACTACAAACAAAAAATAGATACATTTCTTTTTCCTCATTCTTTCTTGTAGCAATTCCCTCTCAGTCACACACCTGAGAGCTCATTATGCAGCTCATTATGCAGGCCTTTGTCTTCTCAGGTGTGAATCACTCATTATACATGACCATTCACGCCCCCTCGCATATTCCTTTTCTACACAAAAAGTGTCTTAGAAAATTTAAATCAATATATTGTTTTCTGTGAGTGAGTAAACAAGATGATTTTTACATCATTCTGATGCAAAAACTCTAGACTTCAAGATCTGTTCTCAATAGTCCTGTGAACAAATGTTCTGTATGTGTTTTATGGCCTTATTTCAGTGACTTTAAAATTTTAGTTTTTCACTAAGCACGCATAAACGTTGTTTTCTCAAAAACACAATCACATACATACATGCTGCCCACATATTATTGTAGCCCAGTTTGTGCTGATTATGGTGCTACTAAACTTAGTCATTAAAAATGTTTATGAGCAACTGAAAAAAGCACAAATGTCAGGACATGTCAAAACTTCTCCAGGGCCCAAAACACCCTCAGACCCCAGAGGGTTAAACTGTAGGGATGATCATAATATTCTAATATTTTGAGATACTGGATATTTGACTTTCATGAGCTGTAAGCTCTAATCATCAAAATTAAACCAAAACTTTTGAAATGTTTTACTTTACATGTAAAGAATCTAGAATATAATATGAAAGTACAAAAGTACTTATTCAAAGTTTTTGAAATAAGTTACAAAAAATGAACTTTTTCATGATATTCAATTTTTTTAGATGCATCTGTATATATTCAATATATTTATATAGAATATGAATATATAAATGTATAAACGTGTAAATATTTTCAAAATATATACTGGATGTGTGTGTATTTATTTATACATAATAAATATACACAGTACAAAAACTTTTATTTTGGATGCGATTAATCGCAATTAACAATTTGACAGCACTAATTTTTATGTAAATAATTGTAAGTAATTGATTATATATTTGATTGTTTGTTTGTTTTAAATGTATTTATTCACATCAATTGCAGATACAAGGTCACTTACATATTTATATATTTATTGAATGAATAAAAACAATGTATTTATTATTTAATTAATTATTTAATTAATAATAAATAATGTCATTTTGAAATTTTGAAAAAAAAATTCTACACTGCTCAAAAAAATTAAAGGAACACTTTTTAACCAGATTATAGCATCAAGTCAATTGAATTCCTGGGATATTAATCTGGTCAGTTAAGTAGCAGAGGGGGTTGTTAATCAGAGAGACGACCCCCAAAACAGGAATGGTTTTACAGGTGGAGGCCACTGACATTTTTTCCCAACTCTTCTTTTCTGACTGTTTTTCACTAGTTTTGCATTTGGCTAGGGTCAGTGTCACTACTGGTAGCGTGAGGCGATACCTGGACCCTACAGAGGCTGCACAGGCAGTCCAACTCCTCCAGGATGGCACATCAATACGTGCCATTGCCAGAAGGTCTCCCAGCACAGTCTCAAGAGCATGGAGGAGATTCCAGGAGACAGGGCATTACTCTAGGAGAGCTGGACAGGGCTGTAGAAGATCCTTAACCCATCAGCAGGACCGGTATCTGCTCCTTTGTGCAAGGAGGAACAGGATGAGCACTGCCAGAGCCCTACAAAATGACCTCCAGCAGGCCACTGGTGTGAATGTCTCTGACCAAACAATCAGAAACACACATCATGAGGGTGGCCTGAGGGCCCGACGTCCTCTAGTAGGCCCTGTGCTCATTGCCCAGCACTGTGAAGCTTGATTGACATTAGCCATTGAACACCAGAATTGGCAGGTTTGCCACTGGCACCCAGTGCTTTTCACAGATGAGAGCAGGTTCACCCTGAGCACATGTGACAGATGTGAAAGGGTCTGGAGAAGCCGTGGAGAACGTTACGCTGCCTGTAACATCGTTCAGCATGGCCGGTTTGGTGGTGGGTCAGTGATGGTCTGGGGAGGCATATCCATGGAGGGACACACAGACCTCTACAGGCTGTGAACAAATGTTCTGTATGTGTTTTATGGCCTTATTTCAGTGACTTTAAAATTTTAGTTTTTCACTAAGCACGCATAAACGTTGTTTTCTCAAAAACACAATCACATACATACATGCTGCCCACATATTATTGTAGCCCAGTTTGTGCTGATTATGGTGCTACTAAACTTAGTCATTAAAAATGTTTATGAGCAACTGAAAAAAGCACAAATGTCAGGACATGTCAAAACTTCTCCAGGGCCCAAAACACCCTCAGACCCCAGAGGGTTAAACTGTAGGGATGATCATAATATTCTAATATTTTGAGATACTGGATATTTGACTTTCATGAGCTGTAAGCTCTAATCATCAAAATTAAACCAAAACTTTTGAAATGTTTTACTTTACATGTAAAGAATCTAGAATATAATATGAAAGTACAAAAGTACTTATTCAAAGTTTTTGAAATAAGTTACAAAAAATGAACTTTTTCATGATATTCAATTTTTTTAGATGCATCTGTATATATTCAATATATTTATATAGAATATGAATATATAAATGTATAAACGTGTAAATATTTTCAAAATATATACTGGATGTGTGTGTATTTATTTATACATAATAAATATACACAGTACAAAAACTTTTATTTTGGATGCGATTAATCGCAATTAACAATTTGACAGCACTAATTTTTATGTAAATAATTGTAAGTAATTGATTATATATTTGATTGTTTGTTTGTTTTAAATGTATTTATTCACATCAATTGCAGATACAAGGTCACTTTTTAATTTACATATTTATTGAATGAATAAAAACAATGTATTTATTATTTAATTAATTATTTAATTAATAATAAATAATGTACTTGATTCATTTTGAAAAAAAAATTCTACACTGCTCAAAAAAATTAAAGGAACACTTTTTAACCAGATTATAGCATCAAGTCAATTGAATTCCTGGGATATTAATCTGGTCAGTTAAGTAGCAGAGGGGGTTGTTAATCAGAGAGACGACCCCCAAAACAGGAATGGTTTTACAGGTGGAGGCCACTGACATTTTTTCCCAACTCTTCTTTTCTGACTGTTTTTCACTAGTTTTGCATTTGGCTAGGGTCAGTGTCACTACTGGTAGCGTGAGGCGATACCTGGACCCTACAGAGGCTGCACAGGCAGTCCAACTCCTCCAGGATGGCACATCAATACGTGCCATTGCCAGAAGGTCTCCCAGCACAGTCTCAAGAGCATGGAGGAGATTCCAGGAGACAGGGCATTACTCTAGGAGAGCTGGACAGGGCTGTAGAAGATCCTTAACCCATCAGCAGGACCGGTATCTGCTCCTTTGTGCAAGGAGGAACAGGATGAGCACTGCCAGAGCCCTACAAAATGACCTCCAGCAGGCCACTGGTGTGAATGTCTCTGACCAAACAATCAGAAACACACATCATGAGGGTGGCCTGAGGGCCCGACGTCCTCTAGTAGGCCCTGTGCTCATTGCCCAGCACTGTGAAGCTTGATTGACATTAGCCATTGAACACCAGAATTGGCAGGTTTGCCACTGGCACCCAGTGCTTTTCACAGATGAGAGCAGGTTCACCCTGAGCACATGTGACAGATGTGAAAGGGTCTGGAGAAGCCGTGGAGAACGTTACGCTGCCTGTAACATCGTTCAGCATGGCCGGTTTGGTGGTGGGTCAGTGATGGTCTGGGGAGGCATATCCATGGAGGGACACACAGACCTCTACAGGCTAGGCAATGCCACCCTGACTGCCATTAGGTATCGAGATGAAATCCTTGGACCTATTGTCAGACCCTACGCTGGTGCAGTGGGTCCAGGGTTCCTCCTGGTGAACGACAATTCCCAGCCTCATGTGGCGAGAGTATGCAGACAGTTCCTGGAGGATGAAGGAATTGATACCATTGAATGGCCCCCATGCTCGCCTGACCTAAATCCAATAGAACACCTCTGGGACATTATGTTTCGCCGCCAGGTTGCACCTCAGACTGTCCAGGGGCTCAGTGATGCCCTGGTCCAGATCGGGGAGGAAACAACGCAGGACACCTTCTGTTGTCTCATTAGGAGCATGCCCCGACGTTGTCAGGCATGTATAAAAGCATGTGGGGGCCATACAAACTACTGTGTACCATTTTGAGTTGCTGCAATGAAATTTCAGCAAAATGGACTAGCCTGCTGAATCATTCGTTCACTTTGATTTTCAGGGGGCGTCTTTGAATTCAGCCCTCTGTAGCTTGATAATTTTCATGTCCATCAAACAATGTGGCATCCTTTCGCTCCTAACACATTACTCAGTCCTTATCAGTATAGATATCCAGCATGATATTCTTCCCCATTGAGATCTGATGTGTTTTCAAAGTGTTCCTTTAATTTTTTGAGCATTATATTTATTATACACATCAAGATTTTTTTAAAGGTCACATTTCCATTCATGCATTTTTTTTATTGAATAAATACATTATTTTCATTAATTTAATAAAGAGTTAAAAAACTACTTTTGGGTCATGGTGTTACATTTCATCTGCCATTTCTTTCCTTCTTGATGTGAATAAATGTTTATGGTAAACTGACTTCACTTACCAGGGCTTGATACTTGTTGTGATTGCTTGAATTGGGCAGGACAGTCGCTCTGGGCTCCTGTTCACCTCCAATCTCGTCACAGGAGAAAAACTCGCTGAGCTTCTGAACACTGGCCAGAAGAAAACAATACAGTATGTCATTCCATATTCAATCACTACAACTGGACTTTCTACTTATATGCCAATTATTTGCTCAAATATCAAGAAATAACTCCAGTTTGGTGGCATTGTGACAGCCTTCCTAGAAAATAAAACAGGACTAAAGTATATACCTCTCTGTAACCAATAATATCACACACTGTATAGCTCTATTCACTGAAAGGAAATCATTCTTTGTGAGAAAACCTGCTCTGTCTATTGCTCGCCATTCAATTCCAGTCTGAAATACTACCACGGCCCAACATGCAGAAGATAAATCCAGAGAGAAACAAAGATTTAGAGATGTCAGACAGATGTATTTTATTCTCTAGTCTAGAGTGTTTTGTTGCAAATAGATATTGTAAAGTCACTGGAAACAGCTGATGCTATCATGAAAAATGCTGATCACTAGTGGCCTAGTCGATTTCCTTAATGTCATATATTGAGAGCGGTGGCACATGCGGCGTGTTTTCCAGGCAGCACTGATCTATGACCTGCTTGTTAACTATAAATACAGCCTTCCCTCTCGAAATGTGTTCCACATGGCTAGGTTGATGAGACTGAACCTGAGGCTCACAGACACACACTTCTTCACAGGAGAGTGCATCTGCGATGAGAAGAGAAGAAGCGCACGGCTGATGTGATGTGATTTATCACACATTGACATGCAACACATGGGGACAGTTCATTATATCCCTGGGTGGTTATTTAAAGCCTGTAAATCCTGAACCTGCGTTGTTTACTGTAAATCACTGTCATATGCAGAGCGACTGTTTAAGCCGCTGATTGAGCCGTAAATTGTACCATGTAATTGGTGCAGCAGAAGAAGTCTGGGTTATAAAAAAAAGGAAAATATAAGTTTAATGTTAACCCTATAAAGCCTACTATCTCAAAATGATCAGCATGATCAAAACTTTGCTAAAACCTGTTGTACACAATCTATTACATTTTGATTGATAGTTTATATTTTATTAAGTCATCTGGTGTAATTGTCATTTTATGTAGGTAGTTGCTATGGAAGTCCTTTTCTGCCACTTAATAAAAAGATAACTAATATATAAATAAAAATAACAAACAAGTCTGAATTGCAAAATATAAACTCATAATTTAGATTTTTTTCTCTGAAATTTGAGTTTAAATTTCACAATTCTATATGTATATATTTTTGTCTCCCCTATGGAATAAAAAAAATTTAAAAAGGTAATTGTGACTTTTTATTACCATTCTGATATTTGTTCTCCCAATTATGAGTTTATATCTTGGAATTGTGAGATAAAAAAGTTGCGGTAACACTTCACTTAAAGCCTTTATGTATAATGCATTATACATAATGCCTTTATATTAATTATGCATTGTAATGCACCTTAAAATGTATTGTACAGTCTCATGAATAATTGTAACCACAGTTAATACGTTATAACACTTATCAATTCATTGTTACACTATGCATTTTAAATTTGTTTATAATTATTTATGAAAAGATATCATGTATCACAATGCACATTATAAATAATTATATTGCTTATCATTATGTCAGACCTTGCATTGTAAAAGGATCTTATTCCAAACCTAGTTTGCTGCTATTAATTAATTTTCTTTGTACAATTCTTAATATTTAACATACTTGATTTTATCCCGCATCAGTGGTTTGTAACTGACCTGACCAGGGCTTTGACGGTGGAGCGGACGACACTGGAGAGCAGGAAGAGAGGAGTGACCAGGATGTGGAAGAGCGAGAGAGAGGCGAAGGCCACAGCGGGGGACAGATCTGCATCATCCGACAGATGAACATGAGCCACGAATGTCTGAAACAAACACACGGGAGCTTTTCAACTTCTGTATGTGTTTATAGTTTCAATAAAAAACTGAATAATAATGTTTTATACTTACAACGAGAACTGCTGCGATGGGAATAGCAGTGTTCATGAATACTGTGAAAGCAAAAATTGTTTATTTGCAAAAAAAGATGCAAACATGTTCTTTTCCTTCATCTATCCATGTGTCCATGTGCTGTCACTTGATAGAAAAGCACCTAGTAATTTCCCAGTAGAATATACAGCGTTACATACTGTATTTATGTCCACTATGTAGTCAAGACATACTGAGATGTAGTAGAGCTCCTCTTACCATTCCTCCAGTGTCCAGGTGAGCAAGCAATTTCATTACAACCGGTTTATGAAAACTGACAATGATGTACCAGTGTTATAAGCCAAGGCCCATGGCTCAGCAGTCACCCATAAGCATGATATATTTCGCCATTATGCCGGATCAAAAGCTCAGAGGACTTTCTACATTCAGAAAAGTACTTGTCCAGCTATTACAGCTCTGAGAGCAGATTTCACTGCTGAATTAAATGTTGCTGTAGAGAACAAATTTTCCTAGAGGGGCAAAACATAAGTTTTAGAGTATGTTGTTATGCTGCATACAAAATATTGAGAAATCAGGTACCCTCAAGTGAAGAATTTATTCGATTACGAGTAAATTTGAATTAAATGTGACATTTTGAAGTAAAAAACTGAAATAGTATTTTATTGTAAAACTTGCAATAATCTTTATCTACAACGTCAACACTTTTTTAATATGTTCTGGATGATTTTGAACACTCATTATGACTTATTTATGTGTGCTCATTATCACATATTCATATAATATGTATATATATATAATTTCCTCCTTGTCTCAAATTTTATTTTGGTAAATTATCTATGATTGTCAAAAATAAAAAATAAAAATGTTGAAGAAAAAAATAAACTGTAAAGAAAACACCATTGTATGAAAAATGCAGGTATCTCTAGCATGTATGTATAATGTATGTATGTAAACATAAATAAGCATATTGAAGTTTAAATCAATTAAAAAGAAACAAATACAAAAAATTAATAAATTAAGTAAATAAATAAAAAGAACTGTAAATAAATGATATAAATAAATAAAGAGAAGCAAACTAAATGAAACAACATTTATCAACATATTTCATATTTGCTAGAAATGATTTCTAGCAAATATAAAATATATTTCTAAATAAATAAAACTACATACATCTAAAAAATTAAATAGACATTTAAAAATAAATAAATACATTAAAAAGTCAAAAGATATATACTTTAAAAAGATAATTAAGTAAATGAGTAAAAAATAGAACAGTTAAGTAAATAAATACATTAAATAAATAAGTAAAGGGTAAAATAAGTGAATAAGTAAATTAATCAATCAATCAATAAATGCATGTTATGTGTCAATGCCATCTCACGTAAGTTCTCGTCCGCGCTGACGGCTAAGGCTTACAGTGCTGCTGGACAGGCCGCTTCCGCCCTGCACGCCATGGCCCTCCTGCAAGTCCACCAGGCCAAGGCGTTGAAGCAGTTGCACGAGGGTGGTGCTGACTCGGGTGTGCTGCAGGAACTGTGCACGGCGACGGACCTCGCGCTTAGGGCGACGAAAGTCACGGCGCGGGCCCTGGGTCAGACGATGTCCACATTGGTGGTCCAGGAGCGCCACCTATGGGTGACCTTGGCGGATATGTGGGAGGCCGACAAGCATCGCTTCCTGGACTCCCCGATTTCCCAGGCCGGCCTATTCGGCGAAGCGGTGGAGGGCTTTGCCCAACAGTTCTCCGCCGCGCAGAAGCAGACGGAGGCGTTTCGACACATCCTGCCCCGGCGGTCTGCTGCTGTCTGCACCCCACCAGCCCCTCTGTCTGCTCGTCGCCGAGGGCGCCCTCCTGCGGCCTCCACCTCCGCTCCGGTGCGGCCACAACAGCAGCCTTCACAACGGCCGCAGCGTGGAGCTGGCCGCAGGAAACCGTTCACATCCCAGGCAAGCTCAACCATGCAGCCGACGAGCTCTCACGTCAGCCCGCCCTTCCAGGAGGATGGCGACTCCACCCCGAGACAGTCCAGCTGATTTGGAGATGCTTTGGGGTCCTATCTTCCGCCCCAGCTGGTATGGGGGACTTGTCGGCTTCCGCAAGGCACTGGAGGGGGTCAGCAATAGTGGCGTTTTTCATATGGATCCCAATTTGTCAGTAACGACTGATGTAACGTAGAACGTGACTGACTGAAAGGGAACGTCTAGGTTACTTGTGTAACCCTCGTTCCCTGAAGGAGGGAACGGAGACGTTACGTTCCATCGCCACAGTTGCTGTACCACCGCTGTATGGCCGGGGCACGTAGT